GCCGGTGAGCCAGCACGGCTCGAGTGGATGCCGTGCGGTGGCGGGGTCATCTTCCCGCACGATGGCGGTGGCGACGGCGGCGAGAGAAACCCAGGTAGGTCCCCTCCCCTCTCCGTCCTCCTTCTAGGTTAGGGTCACTTCTATTTCTGTGATCTGGGGTTAGGGTTCGTTCTTACTACCACGGCCGTCGGTCTAGATCCGGCGAGCTGTCGTGGTTTCTATCCTGCGGCGGAAAGCCGGCGGTGATGGCAAGGTAAAATCTCGCCGTCTCTGATCTAGGGTTAGGGTTAGAATTTGGGAAATTTGAAAGCCTGTTCATCTCCTTCTAAATTGGTTCTTCTTTTCTACCCCAAGACTTAGATCTACACCCTAGACAACCTGGCTCTGGTACCAATGATAGATCATAGTACCTCTAAAACATAGATTAGGGGATAATCTAGACTTGGATGGGAGACATGTTTCTGTACCTCGCCCTAGCACAGTTAGGTCCATAGCACCGCAGCAACGTGGACGCCGGTGTCGTTGCAGCGTAGGCGCGGTGGTGGCGATGCGGAGGCGATGGTGGAGTCGTTGGTGGCTTCCCGTCGTTGGCAGCACGTTCTCTTTAGATCGGATTAGGATTTCTCTGCAGGTGGGTCACGGTGGCTCAGGTCAACCTCGTAGATAGAGCCCCTGCCCCCACCTCCCTCTATAGTGCTGTGCGACGGGGGCCCACCAACCATGGAGCGGTTGGGCGCCTCCGATCAGGGCGCTGATCCAAGGACCCAATTAGCCGTTGGACCAATAGGTGGAGATCAAACTAACACATTAATCATTCTCAACCCTGGCCGTATACCTTTTCCCTTGCTAGTAGTCCATTGTCTTCACTTTCGGCCACATGTAGGATAGGAAATGTGCTTAAAAATTTAGTTTCATATTAAAGTGTCCACCCATGGCCTTATCGTCTTCCCTTTCCCCCACCTAGCCACCTCCTTTGGTTGTCGTCAAATTTCTTGATTCCTCCGGCTCTTGGAGCTCCACGCTGTGGGTTGCCTATCCTTTTGGAGTAACTTCCGCTAGTCTGCTACAGCCTTCACTGAGGTGAGGTGGTTGCGAGTCATAGCCTCCATCGGGGGCGGATCTATTGTTGTGCCCGGGTATTCCTTGGCAAATCTAATATTTTTTAGCAAAAATTTAGAAGTTTGTAGAGGTATATACATGTACTCGCTCTATTCCAAATTATAAGACATTCTAAATTTACTAGAGAGTCAAAATATCTTAAGTTTGACCAAAATTATAAAAAGAATCACAAAGGTTTATGACATCAAATAGTTATACTATAAAAATATATTTAATAAAAAATCTAATCATACTTTTTTATATCATAAATATTATTATTTTATTCTTTAAATTTGGTTAAATTTAAGATGTTTTAACTTAAAAAAAAGTTGAATGACTTGTAATTTAGGACCGAAGCGAGTATAATATAATTATGGACTCAAATTATTAGTTTCTGTCATTTTCTGGCTCTGATCATCCAAGCCCACAGCACACACCCGCAGCCCATCTGGCCTTTCCCAATTCGCATTCTCCACTCCCGGCCCACGACTCATCCAGACACGGAGACGAGGCGGCGACGCTCGTGCAGAACTCTGAATCCATCGAGAGAAAAAACGCCGGCCCACGGGAACCCTAGGGCAGCCGGCTGCCGGCAGTGTCCCGCCGCCCCCGCCCCGCGCGGCTGCGCCGGTGCGCCCCTGCCCTGGGTCCGTCGCGGCTCACGCTCGCCAGCTCCGCCTCCGCGCCTCCGCTGGCCGACGCCGGCCGCCTGCTCGAGCGACGAGCGCTCGCCGCTTGGCCTGGCCCGGGCTCGGCCCCTGCCATCGGCCGTCTCAGCGCGTTGCCGGTACGTGGACATACCCAACAATAAAATCCTGAGTCTGCCACTGGCCTCCGTCTTCCTCGCCCCCCTCCCCTCTCCCCCGTCGCATTCTCTGACGATCTGATCGTTTCTTGGTCCAGTATCATCGACGCCCGGCACCTGCTCAACACAATGCATCCAGGGGAAAGTAGCAAGAGATCGGTGCCTCCAGCGCTCGGCAGCGGAGGCTGCATCGACGCCTTGCCTGACGGCGTACTCGGGCACATCCTCGGCTTCCTCCCAGCGCCGGAGGCCGTGCGGACGTGTGTTCTCGCTCGGCGCTGGCGCCACCTCTGGAGGACCGCAACTGGCCTGCGCGTCGGTAACTGCAGGACATCGGTGAAGGAGCAATGGGAGTTTGTGGACCATCTGCTCCTCCTCCGTGGAAGTTCGCCTCTGGACATATGCGAGTTTTGGATCAGTGAATTACATTCCGACGATGAGTCGCGGGTGAATCTCTGGTTCCGTCATGTCGTGATGTGCAGAGCTCGGGTGCTGAGGCTGCATGTGTTTTGCCACATGTTTCTTGACGACCTGCCTCTCGTTTCTCAGCACCTGACGAAGCTATACCTTTGCTCTGTACGGGTCCATAATAGTTTTCTCAACTTCTCCAGCTGTCCGGCCTTGGAACATCTTGAGCTGGTTTATTGTGATCTCATTTATGTTGACAAGATCGCTTCCAAATCCCTAAAGCATCTGAGTTTGACTGATTGTGGTTTTGAACAAGTTTTTGACCAATTTCGCCACACTCGCATTTATACCCCAAGCCTAGTCTCACTATATCTGGATTCCGTTGAGAGTACTCCCATATTTGACAGCATGCCATCATTAGTGAAGGCATTTGTCCGAATAACTGAGGGTTGTTGGGATTTCTGTTATAAACCAGACGATTTGGATTGTAGTTGCCTGTTGTGTGATGGTTCTGATAGCCGAGGTAGTTCTGTGCTTCTAAAAGGTTTATCTCAAGCTCAGAGTTTGGTGTTGATTTCTGCACCCAACCAGGTATACGTAAACTTTACTTGAGTCACATTATAACTCTATATGTCATTCCCTTATTTCCTGCATTATCTAAATCATTACTCAACATAGGTAGATGCTAATTATAGGACTTACCTGTTGCATGTATTGTGTACTGTGAGAAGTATTTCGTCTAACCTGTTACTTGCATTTTTCCAGATTACTTTCAAAAGTGATTTGAGATGGTGCCCTATGTTTAGCAATTTAAAGACCTTGTTGCTCAATGACTACTGGTGTGCACCTGACGATTTCAGTGCATTAGCTTGTATTCTTGAATACTCAACAGTTCTTGCGAAGCTTACACTTGAACTCTTTTCTGAGGTACACTAATAGGCAGTTTTTGCATATGTATATGAGAAATGTTACACACATACACTGCTTCTTGATAGTGGGAAAAAATGATTTATTTCGCTGCAGGGGCCTAAGTATAAAGTGGAAATGAAAGGAAGGTGCAATTTGATGGAGAGATCAGCTAAAATTTCAGAAAACCTTAACATTGTTGAAGTGAAATGTCAAGTTGTTGATGAGAGAGTTCTCGAAGTTTTGAAGTTCCTGTGCACCTTTAACATAAGTAAGCTAACTTGCAACTTTCCTCGTGATTCTACCTGAAAGTTCACCACAAAATTATTGACAGACGAACACCCTGTTTGACCTGTTGATTAGTTTGGATTGAACGCAAAACGACGGAGCTACCCATATTTGGCTTGCTCGTTACTTCTGAATAATACCATAAATATCAGCATTTAATTGTTTTAACTTTTAAGCAATAACACACTATGTTGATTTATTGTTCTGTGGCCTTCCCTTTTTCTTAAAGGCTCTTTAGATATGATGTCAGTTAGGTGCCCCTATTGACTGAATCAGCTTTCACTCAACTCTATGACTAGCCACAACGTGGCTTTTTACTGATGCTGAAAGAAGAGAGTGTTGAACATGCCATTGTGTGAACCGATGCTGAAGTAAAAAAAATGCAAGAATTGAGTAGGGTTCTTGATTTGGTGATGTACAAATCAACAATGATTTCTTAACTGATGGATGTGGGAAGGCAGGGAAGGGAATGGCTGTAGGTTCTGACAATTTGTTCCCACATCCACTCAAGCCTCGATGCAAAACGCTGTAATCGATCGATCGTCTCTGGGCATCGGCATGAGCAGGGTACGGATTCTTTTCGGCACCGCTCACGCTGTGGCCAGTCTATATACAAACTCGTTCATGCATGACAGTCCAGCATCCAATAAACTATTCCCACATGTTTCCTGTTTTGATTTGTCAGTTCTTATTTCCATGTGGTACAGCTTGCACAGATGTGAGAATAACCCATGTCCAGGTGCTTTTTATTCCCTTTTCCCATGATCAGTTGTCTTGGACCTAAATGAATGCATTCAAATGTTCTGGAGTGAAGATGCAGCCCAGATTCTCGCCATACCTGTCCACCCGGACATGGATGATGTCCCTGCGTGGCACTTTGACCCCAAAGGCCTGTTCTCTGTCAAGTCGGCGTATAGAGTATTTTGCGATGATTTACAGCGAAACAGCTCGCATGATCAGGCAGCTGGGAGTTCCTTGAACAATGGCGCTGAGGAAGCCTTCTGGTCTGCGATTTGGAATTTGGAAGGTTTGGGTCGGCTGAGACATTTCCTGTGGAGACTAGCGCACAACTCCCTAGCACTTTGCTCGAATCTGAACTTGCGTGGTGTCAAGGTCATGGACTGGTGCTTCTTGTGTGGGCATGTGGGTGAGGATGGGAGCCACCTGTTCTTTCGTTGCAATCAGGTGAAGGAAGTATGGAGATCAGCTGGTTTGGAAGATATCAGATGTCATCTCAGTCTCTGTACAAGCGCCAAAGGAGACAGTTGAGCAAATTTTGAAGCTAAAAGGGGATGTTCGGCTGAAAACAATTTTTATAATGAATAACTGGTGGCATGAGCGTAATGCAGTTCGGGAGGGTGAACTGAGAAGATCGGCGGATCACATTGCTATCTTGAGCGGCCGACAAACTCTGGAGCTGACGGAGATGGGATCACCTGGTTTGGAGACAGCCACTAGACAAGGGCGGCAGAGGTGGCAGCGCCCCCATCAAGGCATGCTGAAGATGAACGTCGATGGCTCTTTCAAATGTCAAGATGCATGTGGAGGCTGGGGATATGTGATTAGAGATGATCTGGGAGCTATCATCCAATCAGGCTGGGGTCGTAAAGACTTCGCCTGCAGTCCGTTACATATGGAGCTTTTGGCGTGTCTTCAGGGACTCGGTGCGGCGGTGCAGCTTGGCATTCAGGACCTGGAACTGGAGACCGATGCGAAGCAAGTTGTTGATGCAATCAAGGGAAATGACTTCAGACTTTCCTTGGTTGGAGGCCTCGTGCATGAAGTGAAGGAGTTGTTAGCTGAAAATTTTACGCAGGCCTTAGTTCTCTATGCCCCACGTGATTGTAATCGAGTTGCTCATGAATTAGCTGCTCTAGGTAGCAAGTGTGAAGAGGCTCAGCCCTCAGTGTTGGCCGGAGTGCCAGATTGTATCATGTATTTAGTGTCAGGCGATTTAGCCGACGTGGTTGATTAATGGAATCATGAATTCCCTCAAAAAAAATGACGTGACTTGATCCTACGCCACATTGGTGACATACATGATACATGAAAAGTGGCAAACACGAGTTACCATTTGTCACATAATACCTCATGAGTGAAAGGGAGTTGCTAAATAACAGGCGCCTGATTTTTACATTCTTTTCAGGCGACAAACACCATCCATCTAGTCTAAATCCAACGATCAGTAATCATTCTCAACCCTGGCCGTACACCTTTTCCCTTGCTAGTAGTCCATCGTCTTCACTTTCAGGCACATGTAGGATAGGAAATGTGCTTAAAAATTTAGTTTCATATTAAAGTGTCCACCCATGGCCTTCTCGTCTTCCCTTTCCCCCACCTGGCCACCTCCTTTGGTTGTCGTCAAATTTCTTGATTTCTCCGGCTCTCGGAGCTCCACGCCTTCTCGTCTTCCCTTTCCCCCACCTGGCCACCTCCTTTGGTTGTCGTCAAATTTCTTGATTTCTCCGGCTCTCGGAGCTCCACGCTGTGGACTCAGAGCTCCACGCTGTGGGTTGCCTATCCTTGTGGAGTAACTTCCGCTAGTCTGCTACAGCCTTCGCTGAGGTGAGGTGGCTGCGAGTCATAGCCTACATCGGGGGCGGATCTATTGTTGTGTCCGGGTATTCCTTGGCAAATCTAATATTTTTTAGCAAAAATTTAGATGTTTGTAGAGGTATATACATGTACTCGCTCTATTCCAAATTATAAGCCATTCCAAATTTACTAGAGAGTCAAAACATCTCAAGTTTGACCAAAATTATAAAAAGAATTACAAAGGTTTATGACATCAAATAGTTATAATATAAAAACATCTTTAATAAAAAATATAATCATACTTTTTTATATCATAAATATTATTATTTTATTCTTTAAATTTGGTCAAATTTAAGATGTTTTAACTTAAAAAAAGTTGAATTACTTATAATTTAGGACCGAAGCCAATATAATATAATTATGGACTCAAATTATTAGTTTCTGTCATTTTCTGGCTCTGATCATCCAAGCCCACAGCACACACCCGCGGCCCATCTGGCCTTTCCCAATTCGCATTCTCCACTCCCGGCCCACGACTCATCCAGACACGGAGACGAGGCGGCGACGCTTGTGCAGAACTCTGAATCCATCGAGAAAAAAAACGCCGGCCCACGGGAACCCTAGGGCAGCCGGCTGCCGGCAGTGTCCCGCCGCCCCCGCCCCGCGCGGCTGCGCCGGTGCGCCCCTGCCCTGGGTCCGTCGCGGCTCACGCTCGCCAGCTCCGCCTCCGCTGGCCGACGCCGGCCGCCTGCTCGAGCGACGAGCGCTCGCCGCTTGGCCTGGCCCGGCCTCGGCCCCTGCCATCGGCCGTCTCAGCGACATACCCAACATTAAAATCCTGAGTCCGCCACTGGCCTCCGTCTTCCTCGCCCCCCTCCCCTCTCCCCCGTCGCATTCTCTGACGATCTGATCGTTTCTTGGTCCAGTATCATCGACGCCCGGCACCTGCTCGACACAATGCATCCAGGGGAAAGTAGCAAGAGATCGGTGCCTCCAGCGCTCGGCAGCGGAGGCTGCATCGACGCCTTGCCTGACGGCGTACTCGGGCACATCCTCGGCTTCCTCCCAGCGCCGGAGGCCGTGCGGACGTGTGTTCTCGCTCGGCGCTAGCGCCACCTCTGGAGGACCGCAACTCGCCTGTTCGTCGGTAACTGCAGTGAGTATGATGGGACATCGGTGAAGGAGCAACGGGAGTTTGTGGACCATCTGCTCCTCCTCCGTGGAAGTTCGCCTCTGGACATATGCGAGTTTGGGATCGGTGAATCACATGAATTACATTCCGACGATGTGTCGCGGGTGAATCTCTGGTTCCGTCATGTCGTGATGTGCAGAGCTCGGGTGCTGAGGCTGTATGTGTTTTGCCACATGTTTCTTGAGCTAGACGACCTGCCTCTCGTTTCTCAGCACCTGACGAAGCTATACCTTTGCTACGTACGGGTCCAGAATAGTTTTCTCAACTTCTCCAGCTGTCCGGCCTTGGAACATCTTGAGCTGGTTGATTGTGATCTCAATTATGTTGACAAGATCGCTTCCAAATCCCTAAAGCATCTGAGTTTGACTGATTGTGGTTTTGAACAAGTTTTTGACCAATTTTGCCGCATTCGCATTTATACCCCAAGCCTAGTCTCACTACATCTGGATTCCTTTGAGACTACTCCCATATTTGACAGCATGCCATCATTAGTGAAGGCATTTGTCCGAATAACTGAGGGTTGTTGGGATTTCTGTTATAAACCAGACGATTTGGATTGTACTTGCCTGTTGTGTGATGGTTCTGATAGCCGAGGTAGTTCTGTGCTTCTAAAAGGTTTATCTCAAGCTCAGAGTTTGGTGTTGATTTCTGCACCCAACCAGGTATACGTAAACTTTACTTTAGTCACATTATAACTCTATATGTCATTCCCTTATTTCCTGCATTATCTAAATCATTACTCAACATAGGTAGATGCTAATTATAGGACTTACCTGTTGCATGTATTGTGTACTGTGAGAAGTATTTCGTCTAACCTGTTACTTGCATTTTTCCAGATTACTTTCAAAAGTGATTTGAGATGGTGCCCTATGTTTAGCAATTTAAAGACCTTGTTGCTCAATGACTACTGGTGTACACCTGACGATTTCAGTGCATTAGCTTGTATTCTTGAATACTCACCAGTTCTTGCGAAGCTTACACTTGAACTCTTTTCTGAGGTACACTAATAGGCAGTTTTTGCATATGTATATGAGAAATGTTACACACATACACTGCTTCTTGATAGTGGGAAAAAATGATTTATTTCGCTGCAGGGGCCTAAGTATAAAGTGGAAATGAAAGGAAGGTGCAATTTGATGGAGAGATCAGCTAAAATTTCAGAAAACCTTAACATTGTTGAAGTGAAATGTCAAGTTGTTGATGAGAGAGTTCTCGAAGTTTTGAAGTTCCTGTGCACCTTTAACATAAGTAAGCTAACTTGCAACTTTCCTCGTGATTCTACCTGAAAGTTCACCACAAAATTATTGACAGACGAACACCCTGTTTGACCTGTTGATTAGTTTGGATTGAACGCAAAACGACGGAGCTACCCATATTTGGCTTGCTCGTTACTTCTGAATAATACCATAAATATCAGCATTTAATTGTTTTAACTTTTAAGCAATAACACACTATGTTGATTTATTGTTCTGTGGCCTTCCCTTTTTCTTAAAGGCTCTTTAGATATGATGTCAGTTAGGTGCCCCTATTGACTGAATCAGCTTTCACTCAACTCTATGACTAGCCACAACGTGGCTTTTTACTGATGCTGAAAGAAGAGAGTGTTGAACATGCCATTGTGTGAACCGATGCTGAAGTAAAAAAATGCAAGAATTGAGTAGGGTTCTTGATTTGGTGATGTACAAATCAACAATGATTTCTTAACTGATGGATGTGGGAAGGCAGGGAAGGGAATGGCTGTAGGTTCTGAACCTTGGTCAAGTGAATTTCCTAGCAAGGAAGCATGTTCCTGCAGTTTTAGGATTCTGTCAAGTAACTGAACTTTATGTTGCTGTAAATAACAATCATCTCTAAAGTTACTGCACCTTTTTTTGTTGTACAGGTTTCACTTTCTGATATGAGGCTCTAGGAAATTTGGGCTGTCTAGGGATCTACTATCCTCGTTAGGAAATTCAAGGCTAAAGTTCATTGCAACAAGGTTGCCATCTCTAGTGCACAGATAACTGGGCGTGTTGTATTCTGTCAGTTAGACTTCTTGTTATATGAATGTGTAAAAACTGGCAGCATAAGTTGTTCAGAACTTTAAATATGTAGTTGGATCTGGCACTTCATTTCGCTGTCATTTCTTTCACTCAGAGATCATGATGTTTTATTCAACAATCTGCACCAAGTAATTAATGTGCCTTTATTACTACATATATTTTGGTTCAGTATCGAACCTGGTAACATGACTGCTCTTAGTCCTAGCATAATCTGTTCACATCCCACTGTGGTAATGTGTTCAACGATTTAACATGACGTCATGTAGCATGATGATTGGAAAAGAAGGGTGACATGTCCCATTGGACATGGCAAATTATATCAAGAAATGGCTGCATTCTATGCAGGGAGTAGTGCACTTCCAACAAATTACTTGTCTTCTATCCCTCAAAAGTTTATATAGGTGATCTCCTACTATTAGTAGTAACATGTCATTTTCTCTCTCTTTCTTCAATAGACTACCAAAAATCCATGTCCAGTTTATCCCTCTCTCGTGGATCCCTCTAGTAAATGTGTAAATATGTTTTTGTTATGTATCTAGATATAACGTTCCTAAATAAGTATCATTTTTTTTTGTTTTTTTGTCATAAGTTTACTAGATTTGTATCTCTAAATAAATTTATTATGAAAATCATGGTTATTAAGGTGGTAAGGCAAGGCGTGGTGATGGATTACTGCCTTGCGCTTAAGCGGCTAAAGCGTGAGGCGAGGCGACGCCTTAAGAATTTAAGCAAAACTTAAAGCATCAGCTTAGAGCAGTAGTTGATGAAGAAAAAAGAAAAGTAAAAAAAGGATAAGAGAGTTAAGAAATGGACTGGCCCAACCCACTAGGCAGCCGATGTGCCCCTCCCCCTCCTGGCGTGGTGGCTTCATCTAGCGCCGTCGCTCTTCTCTCTCGATTCGCTCAAGTGCCTCGCTTCTCTCTCCCTCTCCACTACTATTCCGCCTCCGCCGAATGTGCTGCTCTGCTTCGCTCTCCCCTCTCTGAATCCGCCTCTCTTCTTTCCTCCTCATTGCTTTCAGCTCGGCTCTCTGACCACCAGCGTCCCCTTCCAGATCGAGCGAGAGATGGCGGAATCGAGCGAGCCAGCATCAGAATCGACGAGGAGACAACGGAATCGAGGGGGGGGGGGGGGGGCATCAACATCTTGTAAAGGTGACAAGGCGCCGCCTTACCCCTGAGGCGAGCCTAGAGCGCCCTACGCTTAAGCGTCGCCTAAGCGATGCTTAACAACATTGATCAAAATAGATTCATTAATCTATCTAATGATTTTAATTTTGTACCATAAATATTATTATTTTATATATTAGAGTGGATTTTCTGCAACAGTGTGTAGCAGCCCTGGGGGTTGTCGTACCTGCAAGCCCGCCTGGATCTTTGACACGTATTGAACGAGTGTGATCGGACGTCCGCTGTCTTACGGCCCAAAATGGCACAGGTTTGCTTTGCAGCTTTCTTGTAGCAGCTTTTGCAGGCACTTTTTTGGCAATCGCTTGGGGTCCCGGGTCTAGGCCCACCCCGTTCGCTTGGCATGTTTAGCTTATAAGTCGTAATTTTTAGCCAATAAATAATATTTTTTTCTCACATCAAATCAGTCAACAGTACTTTCAGTCATGACTTATCAGCCAAACAAGTCCAAGCGAACAGGGCGTTCGTCTTATGTACTGCTCACTCCCCTGCATCATGTTTTTTTTTTTAAAACAGACCGAGGAGGAGATGGGTGCTGCACACTCTGAAACGAAACGCTGGAATTATTACCATAGTCTAGACCCAACAACCTACCGTGCTGCCACACACAAGCTCTGTGACATTAGACCGAATGTTTTTGGTGTTAAATGAATTGACCCAAGACCGAACAGTAAACTGGGTTGGGTTGACCCAAAGCCCGAAAAAACATTAGCTGGGTTGAGTGGGTTATGTTTTGGGTCAACCAATAGTGACCCACTTGCATCGCTAGTACGAGTAGTCTATACGGAAGCTCCATTTAAATACGGGGTTTTGGATTTGGCCAGGCGATTAAACTCTCGTGTGATCAGGGAATTGTTGCAGCTGAGGAGGCATGGGTCGCTTCGCTCGTCTGGTGCATGTGGCCTGTGGGCACCATCCGCTTTTTGCTTCAGACCAATAGAGCTAATTGTTCTGCGCGTCCTTCTGGCTCTTGAATGAGTCTGCATTATTGAATGAGCATGGTATGCGGGTTCATGAGATGCCAATGCAATGTCCTGCAGAAGGACAGCTTTCCTCAGACGCAGCCTGTTCTCTTTGTTTAATCTCAGCTTGTTTCAGCTTATTTTCTCTCACAGAACACTATTGAATCAACTGAAATCAGTCGAAATAAGTTCGAAATGTGACCAGCCAAACACGCCCAAATTATTGTGGGTACGTAGTGGAAAAGAACAACTATTGTTGCGGACTGTACTTGGGAAGGGGTTTTTTGAACCCCCCCCCCGGTCGCTGCTCCGCCTCCGCTGAGTCCGTGAGCGCCCTGCTGGAGCCATGGCTGCCACCGCGTCCTGCTGCGGCAGGATGGCCGCACGCCGCCCACCAGCTGGCCGCGTGCCGCCCAAGGCCGGCCGTGCGCCGCTCCCCACTCCCCCAGCCATGCTCTGCTCTGCTCTAACCCGTAGGAAGAAGATGAAGATAGAGGGGATGAAGTGCTGACGTGTGGGACCCACGTGGGAGTGAAATAGAGATGAAGGTGGAGCTGTCCCAAACACCTTCAGCTCTGCTAGCTCCACTAATGGAGCTGCTCCACGATGGATCTAGCTGAATCCCAGATCCAGATCCACTTTTTGGCTTGGTGGAGCTGTCCCAAACAGGCCCTTAGTGGGCGGACAACTACCGCACCCGGGGCAGACAACTACCAATATATATATATATATAGTAAACGTTATTTATTGGGAAACGAAAACGACTAATTGCTACCTCCGTCCTAGAAAGAATACAACTATGGGTTACGTGCCACGTAAAGTGGTTCACGTTTGACCAATTTTTTAGTAAATAGTAGTATTTACATTTATGACTCCAAATTAATTTATTATAAAAATAAAATTCATAATTAATCTAATAATATTTATTTAATATTATAAATATTTATATTTTGTATCTATAATTAGTCAAAGTTGGTATACCAGGGGGTGTTTGAAACTGCTCTGCTCCACGTTTTTTAGCTTCACTCCAGGTTTTCAGCTAAACGATTTCAGTTCCATGCACTCTGCTCCAGAAAAAAGGGTGGAGTTGTGAGAGCACCTAAAGAGGTGCTCCACAAACTTCAGTTTTTTATGGAGTTGCTCTATGGTAAAATTTGTGGAGCAGAGTTCAGGGGCGGATGTAGTGTAGGTGCATGGGGGTACAGTTGTACCCCAAAATTTTGGTCAAAATATTAAGTATTATATCTATAAAATATTATATATCTAGAACACTTTGTCAAATAACAATATCTCGAGTTCAAATGCTCATTCAAGAAGGAAACAACCCATAGCATACTAGCACTCTTTCTTCTAAAGCCCGGAAGCCTAAAATGAACCGATGCACACATAGCACAAGTACAAGATAAAAATCATAGAACGAGTTGTGAAAGATAAATATGTAAAGTTGACTCTTTTTCCTTCCAAACCATCGCTATAGTTTTTTTAAAGTTTGAATCTTGATCTTGTTTAATTATTTTTATTGTTTTAGAACGGTCAAGGCATCAAGACCTTGGCAATGACTATCTTTGTATGATTGATGAATTGTATCCTTAAATCCATATACCTAATTATTTTATCGTCATCCGGCCGTCATATTATATCACTAGCGAATTGCATAGCTTAGATCCGTACCCGATGTATGAAATCCTGGATCCGCCACTAGCACATGTGATACTACTCCAGAATTGCATTGCATTATTTCAGTGACGGAAAGAGTACGAGCAGAAAACACACCGGATTGTTGGGAAAGAAGTTGTTTCGGAGGAGTCGAAGGAGTAAAGATGAGTAGATCATTCACGGGAAAAGCCAAACGGTGTTCAGAAAAGCCAGAGAATCACGACTCACGAGACGGCAGGCACGTTTCTTATCCTCAACCTCACCATCTCCATTCTTGTCCACCCGTCGTTTGCATCGGACAACAGGATGCCACTTTCCCCGCACGAAGAACCAGCCAGAGCCCTCCAGCCACTCCCACCTTACCATCGTCTCCCTCCCAACATCACAGATCGACCTCTCCTGCTCTCGCGCCGAGGTCGGCCTCTCCTGCTCTCCATTTCTTGCAGGCGTGAGCTCTAGCTGCGGGTGGTTTTCCTCTGCTCGCGGCCCGCGAGCACAGCTCTGGGCCTGGATGGGATTGCTCCTTGCTGAGGCCCTGTTCATCTGTGGGTTTGTGATGTCCTATCTAGGGGAGATGCGTTGCTGCCTTATCTGCCGTTGGTTTCTCAATTGAACAGCTCACAACAGAACTGACAAGCATGGTTGGAGGATAGATTCGTTCAGCTGTCATGGTGTTTCTCGAGTTCAGGCAGGGTGTTCCATTTGTACAGCTGTGGTGTTTGGACAGTCTACCTCTTCAGTTCACTGCTGTTTCTGTTGTGACTTTTTTCAGGTTTCACGTTCTTGTCAATCGTATTCTTCTATTCTACTAGGATTACTGTTATTATTTCTGTGATAAAGATACATCTGAACAATGCACCTAGCTATAGTATGTGTGTTAGATATATATCTATGTTCTTGGTGTTAGCAATCAAGCCCATTCGCTTGTACTACGGATGTACCTGAATCTTCCATGTACCTACCTCATAAGACGAAGTTAATCTTTAACAGTCCAAACTCATTCGCTGTTTTCATTACTGAGCTAAAAGTTTGTTGTTGGGTGACTGGTG